CTAAGTGGTAGAACAGCTGAAAAAAATCAGAGGCAGAGTAGCACTATTTTAGAGTCTTACTACTGATGTGAAACACAGAACATGCTAGATTGTTACATTATTTGAAGTGATCCATCAGTAATAGTAAGGCAGTACATGCTTCACCATGACAGTCACTAAATTATAATTTCTGTTATTTGCTTATTTTCGTCACAACATAAAGCATGAACAGTTGGATGGCTTTTTTTTGCATCTTTCACTAGTGCCTGTGTTCAGTCATTCTGTATTAAACTTAACTTTTTTACAGAATTTCACTTAAGACAGACTTTTTCTTCCTGTCCAAATCTTCAAGTCAGAGTGCATGCAATAAAAAAAGAAACTGCTTATGAATAATTCAACAATTTTGTTAAACTAAATTGTATTTTGGTAGCCATTAAGCAGAAGCACAATACTATCCACATCATTATCAGCAACTCTTATGCTCAAGAAGAAAAGAAAACATCTACTGGAATCAGCCTCAGAACAAATTTACGCTGGTATAAGAGGAGAGAAATGAGCAACTTGAAAGGTAAATCATTACTGTAGAAAAGAAGTTATATTCCATGTACTAGCATTATCATGCCGTGATGTACCATTAATTTACTGTTAAAAGATGCAAATGGGCATGTTAGCCCACAGTCTCTCCTTTGTCGAGTTACATCAACATCACTTTAATTTTAACTATTTACTTGATCACATTTACCCTAATCAGCTAAGTACTGTGAATTAAAGAACAATTCTGAAAGCCTGATGTTCTACCAGGAACTCTTCCAATGTACAGCATGCTTGACCAATGTTCTCATTCAACATAATGAGAAAGAACAACTATCCAAGGCTTTTAAGTGTTGGCATTTGTTGCAAGGATGCTAGCCAAATTCCAGATCACTTAGTTACATTATGCATACTTGCATTCTTTCTCTACTCCAAAACAGATACATTATTCCTAATTTTATACTCTAAAAACATAATTGAACAGAATTGTTGGTACACAATAGCTGTACTATTTCTAAAAGAAAAAGCAGTTGCATTTCAGTAGCATCCAAAAAGATTCTAGTTACATTACATGCATTCTTTAATAATGCTAGACAAAACCTACAGTGAAAGAACGTAAGACAAATGGTGCACAGTTAATGAGCATTTATTGAATGACAAAATAATAACTGATGAGGCCTTGTGAGTATTCCAAATAATACTCAAAATATTTCAGACCATTGTATATAAAGTAATCCAACCATAAAATTACATACTCACAATTTGTAGCTGCCTAGAAAAATCTGATTTATTAACTTGATTTGTATCTAGCAGAAACACTATGCCAGAGTCTGAATTAAACTGTGCACGACAAAAATGAACCATCTGAACTTTCCTTACTACTTAGCTGCCTTGTTTTCTTTTTTAAACAGCCAGCTGGAGAGAGTTTTCATTCCTCCACACCAAGCGTGCAACCATTCTGTGCATACAGGAATGACTACAAGAAAAATGTTCACATAATTTTAGTTCTGTTTTATGACACAGATGTGTGTGTGGATGCAGGCAATTACTGGGTTGACTAAACCCATCCTTTGACAGTATGTTTTATATACAATTTCCTAAGGTAGAGAAACAGTGAGTCAGAATTTCAAGGAGTCTGTTCAAGCCATAGAACTGAGGTAATTTGTGTCATCGTGATTCCCTTTGTTCCATCCCTGATAGAATCCTCTTCTTGACTACTTATCTGTACTAGTCACATTCCTCGATGAATTTTATTCAATTTCAATTTCTAATCTTCAACTTTTTTTCCCCCTTGCCTACTACTCCTACTATCTCATTAAGGAATCATGGAATTCCCCATCCAGAATCTCCAACTTTCTGATAGAAAAAAAATTACCACACAGGAAAGAAAGTGGTAATAAATCCCCAAATAAACTATTAAGAAGAATGAGATGCTCAGAAACAGGTAATCAAATTCAGTGGCATCCCAGCAATGTCTTCAAAACAAAAATGTCTTTAATTCCTCATTCTTTTGTTTCACACACTTGCTTAAAGCTGTATCTACATGTCAGTCTCTAATTCCCCCATAATTTACTGTGTCCTTAAGACATGTATGTATTCATTACTCAGGGAGGTTCTAGTGAGCTTTGTACTTCCTTTTATTCTGCTTAAGTGAATTTTCAATCTGTCAGGCAATTTGGTTTTTTTATTTCCATCATTTATACTCAGTTTTTACTGTTTCAACACTTTTTGTATGAAGTGCTCCTTTGGTCTTGAAATGGTTAAGAAACACTGTCTACCTTAAAGTTACAGAATCTCTTCAAAAAATTTAAATGAAAGTCAGTAATCAATGAAAGTCAGTAATGCATTTTTTTTAAAGAAAAAAACAAACCACCAAAAAACCCACTCTGCTTTACTTAGTTTGTCTTAAATCATCAATATTCAAATATTATTCAATATCATATGCCACTATCCACCATAGTGGATTGTAATTCCTGACAAACACATCACACTGGAGACACTGAACTCTCACTTGAAGCTGAAAAATCCTTCAGTCCCTGGTTTAAATGTGCAGTTGCTATAACTGAACTAAATGGAACCATATTGTCTCAGATACAACAAGCGAGTTATGGATCTCACTTAAGAAGATTAAATTATCTTCTTCCTTACTTGGTTACCAATGCGGAAAAGAATCAAAACATCAGCCAGCCACAACATTACAGCTCTTCCTCACACTGGAAACATTTTGCCCTGTCTCTTCATAGTGCAGAACTTCTCTGCAATTCTCTTGCCTTAATCGTGCCCAGTAATTTACTGAGATTTACTCAAACTGAACCTACATACTAATAATCCACTTCGCAGTACAGAAAACAATGCACCCATTACAGTATTTTCCTGCATACCTGTAATTTTCCAGGCTGCATCATACATTCTCATCGGTATTTGAACACAGATGACACACTTGCTTACAATACAGAGAGCTTATTTAGGCAGTAACTGCAGATCTTGTATATATATTGCATGTAGCCACATTAGCATTGCCAAGTGTTTGTTCTAGAACTAGTTAAAGTGGGGGACTTTTTTTTACTGGACTGGTACAGCAGATTAACACCCTAGCATTCTTTGTCCAAATAATAAAAAGAGCAGAATAAACCATATTAACCACAGTTAATATGAGACGTATTAACTCCAGAGACACAACCTCACAACGGGGGTAGAGAGAAAACAAAGATAGGCAGTAAATGTGAATATAAAATACATCTATTATATAGCTCTTGGAAGCAAGACAGCACTTAAAGCATCAGTTCAACCTGCAAGTCAGGTGTCTCATACTCTTGTTTAAAAATAACAGAACAGCTAGAGCACTGCAGAGGATGCAGCTTCAAAATAACAATGTACTTCTTCACATAATGAAGGGTAATCTAATAAGTCCAGGTTAAGTTATGGAATTCCTTACCACAGATCACTGTCGATATTAAACATTTACAGAGATTCAGAACTGTCTGCATGTGCTAATGGAAGGAAAAATTAATTGTACTAGCTTATGTAGATGCATAAAGTCCTTTATCACAATAAGTGATAGTAGAGACAATGTTCTGTATGGCAACATGCTATATGCTAACAAGTACATAGTCCTAGTATATGATTTCCCTTCATTTCTTCCCCAGAATTTGTTATTGATCATTGTCAGAGACAGCAGACTGAACTACACAAACATGAGCTCTGAATCAATATAGCTGTTTTCTTGTGGCAACAGGGAAACCCAAGGCAGAAATCAGAACAGGCTTCCAGAGTAGTGCTGTTCTAAGAGCCAGTATGGGCAACGGAGCTGAGAGGTGCATGAAGCAAGAAGCTGTGGAAATGCGGGGTAAGCACAATCCTCAAGATCATGACTTCTTTAGAGTTTGATCCTTTTTTGTCCTCAGATATGAGGACCCAGACGTGACCAGAGAAGAGTCTGTGAGGGATGAATATAGTTAAAATTAAGTTTCAAAGAGAACATGATCATTTGATCATGTCAGAGTGTATAAATAACATTAGGTAAAACAAATAATCAAACTAGAGAGGGAAAAGTGAAAAGAAGCCCTAGGAGGAGAGTAGGGTATTTAGCCCTGTTGTAAATTCCCAGGAGAGAGAAGAGAAAAGCAAACAACATGAACCATAACATTGCAATAATTATACTTAAGTATATTTATAAAGAATCTTGTTGATGCAGCAACAAATCCTGATGCACAAAAAGGAAGCTGCTGAACCCATACATGCTTTAATTACTCTGTATCAGTTTAGTGCTATTACTGTCTGCACAGATTCAATCTAAATGGAATTTAATTTGAGAATTCAGGTACTGTTCCATTTGACTTTTCTTAATCTTCGTTGCATTAAATTGTAAATAATTCCTCCTAATTAACTCCCCCTTCAGTTTATTATCTTGAACATGCTGAAGAATTTTGACTGTCCTTTTGTGATAACACTGAAGTTTATGGATAATCACTTTTAAAACTGAATTTTGCCCTCTTGTTCTTCATGCATACCACTATGTGTCCATGTTATTCAAAACTAAAGTACAAAAAAGCTGTAGGCTTGATTATATTTTAAGATCTTTTTTTTGTTCTTCCTATATGCAGATGGTCCCCAACACCTCAATTTCTGTGCTCAATAGATTGTTGTCTGATGTCTTCTGTTCCTTTGACTATTATAAATTCAGCCTATGGACAATCCTCTCCTCTTTCTAAGCAAGTCCATGAGAAGATGCATGAAGTTTAAAATAAAGACAAAGTTTTATGTGAAAAATCCAAATGCATTCCACAATCTAGTACTGCTGTCTAAAATCTACACCATTCAAAGTACAGAGTCCTTTGAAAAATCAGTTTGGAATGTTCAGGATATTCCAACTGGCATTCCTAGCAAAATTAAAGTATAGGTAAAAAAATCAAAAAACTAAGAGAACACAGAATACACCCATTTAAAAATACTGGTGTTTTCAGCAAGGGTAGAATTAGGGAAACACTTACCTTATTTGTTGACTGCTAGAATTTTCCTTTAAAAGCTGTCTGGACTCAGCTTTCACAGTGCAGAACACAGACATCTTCCAAATTCTTAAATTCAGGGAAAGAATAAAGTAAAATTTGATTAATACATTATTCTATCACTACCCAGAATTCTGAAAGAAAGCTACATTAATTTGTTAAGAGCTAAGACAGACTTAAATGAAACAACAAGCCAATACTGAATTTAAATATGAAATTCCATGTTTCTCATAATTCTAGCTTATCTGAGTAAGATTTTACTATGTCATCTTAGTAGATAGAACAACCCATGTTATTTTAAACTAAATCAGGTGTTTAGAAATTCACTGAATATGATAATAAAGTTGAAAGAATACATTCCATAAGGAAAAAACCTAGAGACACAGGAAGTACCAGCTTTTTAAAGTCAGAGGTGATATGGAAAGAAGTTCTATACTTAATATAAATCAGTTCTGGTTTGCATGTTTTAAATCAACATAAATTTCTTAAACAGTTAATGACTATGTGTAGCAACATATAACTATATATAAACATAAATAAATATACATTGATTTCTAGACCTAAGGGAAAAATTCCATGAGAAAGCTAAAATACATTTGTTCTTCCCACCCTGACATATCAGAAAAACACTCTTGTGATAATAGAGATACCCACTATTAGTGGGTAGTATTACTATTTTCATACTACTGCTACCACTTTCATACTACTATGAAATAGTGTCATAAAAATATTAAAAATTCAAGGTTTTTTTTCTCTCCCTAAAGTGTGGGTATTTTTATACCTTCAGATATACACAAAATTCAAATCTTTAGAAGAATATTAATACTAATTTAAACATCTGCCTTGAAAGTACTTCCCCTCTTGAAGTTTCCTGTTACTTCATTCATTCATGTATCACTAATTCTATACGGACTTTTTCAAGATATATAAATACCGGATCAGTTATACATTTACTTTTACTTATTCTCGAGGATTTAATTTGATCTGAAGCATACCCTCCATAAAAGCACAGAGATTTAATTTGAGGAATTCTGGTCCATGTAGAGAAACAGAATTTGTAACATTCCAAGTTATGCCAACTGTTGATTATTGTCACTTTTGAAAATTATGGTTAGGTTGCTGTCAGCCTATCATTAGCCACTAGATCCTCTTGTTCCTGCCTTTTGTAGGATAAATAATCCTTTAGGATTCTGTATTGTACTGAAAAGAACCCAAAAACTAAGTAAAACAGAAATCTTTTCCAGAAGAAATTGGCCAATTGAAATCCCCATGGTGTGCAATGCATTTTCCAGATGCTCCACAGTTTTGTCACAGACGCTTCATATAGGAGCACTGAAACCACCCATGATTGTTTCAGATTCTAAAACAAAGATGACTTAACACAAACAAAAGCTGAGCAAAGAGCCGTATCGGTGAGGCTCGTTATAAGCCCGGCTTGGCTCCCACAGGAGCAGCTGTTCTGGCACAGGGATGCTCCCGAGCCTCACACCGACAGCGCTGCTGGAAAAAACCCTTCTCGATGTGTAGCACACATTTGCACCGCCAGAGCCCTTCTCGGCACTTCTTGCTCTCCCTCCCCCTTTTCACACTGCGCCAACAGAGTGATTTGTGCCGTTATATGAACGGATTTTGGAAAATCGCCCTGGATTAATTTCTTTCTCCTGCTAGGCTGCGTTTCACAGAATCATAGAACCGACTGGGTGGGAAAAGGCCTCCGAGATCATCGAGTCCAACCCATGACCGGACACCACCCTGTCAACCAGAGCACGGCACTGAGTGCCACGTCCAGGCTTTCCTTACACACCTTCAGGGACGGTGACTCCACCACTTCCCTGGGCAGCCCATTCCACTGTCTAAACACCCCTTCTGTGAAAAAGTTCTACCTAATGTCCAACCTTCAGCCTCCCTAATGTCCACCCTAAACCTCTCAGCCCTTTGCCCCGTACCACCCGCACCAGCTCAGGAGCAAACAACGCACGGCGCCGCCGAGGTCGGGGCGGAACGGGGAACTGCGGGCTAGAACACATGGAACACGCGGCTGTAGCAGCGAGGTGGGGCAGCCCCGTGTGCCGCCAGCCCGGCACGGCGCGGGGGCACAGGGCGGGGCGGGGACCGGCCACCTGCCCCCGGGCACGACCCCTCCGGGGCTCAGCTCGGCGGAGCCGCGCTCGGCCCCCGCCCGCCCAGCGCCTCCCCCCGGCCCCGCTGAGGGGGCGGCGGGCGCGCGCCC